CAAGAAAACAGCAGAGGAAAAGAGTTATCTGATCAGCACGTTACACCCACAGGCTCAGAGTTTGTGGTTAATAAGCAGCTCTCTACAGAAAAGAAAATAAACAGAGCACAACAGCAAAAAAACGTGTTTGCTCTGACCATAATCCTGAAAACTGCTTTGGAGGACGCTTGAGCAAGATCCTACCCAAGCCAGAGAGGCTACTATGGACAGAAATACCAAGTGTCATCTGCTTGGGAAATCATGGACAGAAGCACTGCAGATAAGGTCTTCTGTTTGCAGAAGTTGTTACACATTGCTATTCTGCTCGTGGCTACTATGTTTGCATTGGCTTTTGTGTTTGGCCTCTTGAAAGTTTTAATAAAATGGATATAGGAAACACGCTTTATAGAATGAATTAAAATTAGCAACTTTATCTTTGCACATTTAACAGAAAAATCAGATGTGTACACAGGAAGATTGCAGCAGTAGCATTATTTTGGGCACATCCTGGAGGGCACGCACAGAAACAGCTCTCCAAAAACAGTTCACTATTTTTAAGGATGAAAGGATGTGGCCAAGAAGGAGAAAAATAAAATAAAAAGGACCTGCTTTGGTCAGACTATTTCCATACTCAAGCATGATACTGCCACGTGCAATCTAACACTTCTAGAGAGTCAGGGAAGTTCCAGGAGAAGAATAAACTGGTTTAGCTGCAGCTCTTATGCAAGACTGCACGAGGTGATGCAAAGAAGCACTGAAAGCTGCAACTGCCTGCGAGGTAGAGCACAACCTTTTAGTACAGGATGCTGTTCACTGCAAGCCTTGCAGTTGCTTAGCACTGCTCTCTGCAGCACTCAAACTAGGCCCAGGTTAATTCATTCTCAAGTTTCGTGAGCATCGTCTTAGGAATTTCCTGGACAAAATGCTGTCACTCTAATGTATTTATCAGATTTCAACACACCACATGAATCCAATGTTTACAATTTTGACCATGGTGAAAAGGACCAGAAGTTTGAGCATTGGCTAAAATTTGCTTTTTTAACATTTTTTCTTACTCTTTCAAAGAAACTCCAAAGTTTCTCTGCTTGACTCAATTGCCTAATTAAATACAGCTGAAACGCAAATCCCCAGACAAAATCTTTGATAGATGTTATTGAAATAATAAGTTTCTCCAAAAATATGGTAAGCAGCATATTCCAAATCAGCACAACTATATTTTGCTTTCGGCCAATAGTAAACATTGAGCCCCTCTAACAAGCAGAGACTTTTCCTAACCCAAGTCAGACAAAGAAGAAAGATCACCAGCTACCATAACAACAATTAAAATGCACACAACTAGTTTGATGAAACGCTCAGCTACGAGACTCCCTCTCCTCCATCTCTCCAAACTGGGGGAAGATGGAGAGAGATGCAGTGCTCCCCTGGGGAGCACCAGTTGCTGTGCACGCGCAGGGCTCGGCCAGGAGAGCCAGGGCGCAAGGGCGAGCAGCCCAGCGGCAGCAGCTCCTGGAGAAGGAAGCAGCAAACACTCAAAAACAAGCTGCTCGGAAATGCCCACTGCCCAGATATCCAGTGGGAAAATAAAGCTGGATTCAGCCGTAACCGGAGCCAGGCCAGCACGATTGGGCCTATAACCAGTGCAGGAGCTACCATACAGAAAAGCAGTGCATTAATATTGTATTCTCCTGCAGGAAACCTATTGAATTTCTGCACTGAGCAGAAATCAATGGTGTAAACAATTAGTTGAATGATATAATATTGAATATCATAACAAACTATGCTGCACTATCAGATCTGGAAAATTAATGTTTCTTGAGAGCCATGCTGTATTTGGGGAATAAACTAAAAACACGTTTTCAAGAGCAAGCTAACAGCAAAACATTAAAGATTTTTTTTGCTTAAAATGTTATTTAAATTATTTTTCAGAGGACATGATTCTAATAAAAATGTTAGCTTATTAGTAGTTATACACACACTAAGACTAGCTCAGGTCTTATCAGCGCAGTTACACCCCGGCGAGGGAAATTAAAATGCAAAAGAACACACACCACAGCAAAGCCTGCAAAGAAAAAAGCTTAAAGACACATAGGTCATATTAAGGTCTTTCCCTCTCCTAACGCAGCTTCTCCTGCTGCTCACTCATGCGGGGAGATCATAACTTTGTGGCTCTGATATTTCCACGGCAACACTGATGACAGTGATGTCACAACTTCAGCCCTGACATAGCTTCAGGATCAAGCACAGGGAGCAGATGGGATGCGAGGAAGAAAGCCCCTATTTAAACACAAATCTCTTTCATAAGAAAGAAAGGGGCATGAGCAAAGAAACAGGTGAATGGACCACGTTTTCAACTACGATATATTCAAAAGATTATCCTAGCATGAAAATCTATTTAAAGGCAAGACCTACAATACAGGGTAACTGTCAAATTTGTTAGGCCTTATAATAAACCAACCTTGAAAGCTCCCTGTTTTGCATGACAAGCCTCGTGCTCAGTTTCTAAAGCAGCAGAGAAGACAATACACTCATATCCCCTGTGAATTCCTTTAAATAATATTAACATTCAGATATATTAATTTGATACATTACTGTGCTCGTAGTATCACATGTAAATATGATGTCAAGCCCTTACTGAAAAGGGTTTGTTATCTGAATTAATAGTTTATGAAAGAAATTAATCCCACATGGTTCCCCAAGTACAGAAGGATGGTAATTGGAGTAGTCAGTGAGCACAGTTTCATCAATAAAGGACACTGTAATTTTGTCCTTTCTTCTGCGGACTAATAAAAGGCCTCCTGAAACACATATAAACCCATCTCTGGCCGGATAAGCCAGCCTCAGACGCTCCTGTGACTCTGATGAGCACAGCTCCACCTCTCCTGCATGCACCCACCGCGCTAGCCCATAACCACGGCCTGCCCGCTGGCTTGGGGTGGGCAGTAGCAGAGTCCGGACGGCACGGCGAGAACGATGCAAAGAGACGGAAACCAGGGGACTGCACCCAGAACGTGCTCACCAACTCAGGGCGCAGCGTGAGGACACGCGCGGACCCTCAAGGCTGCCACCGCGCACCAAGACCTGCTGATGCTCACGCAGCTCCGCTCGCCAGCGGCGACGGCGTGGCCGTGCCCAGCAGGCAGCGGCAGGCGCCCGGCCGCTCTGCCTCTCGACACCCGTGCCCAACGCGGGCACGGTGCAACCACCGCCAGGGAGCCGCGGCTCGCCGAGGTGCCTGCGTGGCCATGCTCCCTCCACGCGAACGCTTGGCAGGGGGCACGAGTTAAAAAAGCAAACAAAAAAGGCAAAAATATTCTGCTCTACGTGCATTTTTTCCATTAGGGAAGTGGACCAGAGAGGTCACACACGTTGGATTTTGTCTAGGCACTTTCCCCCAGTGCGTTACTGATGAAACTAGGAGGTGAACAAGACAGTCTACAGAGCTGAAATCAGATATGCAGGTAAGTACTCAGCCTGTTGGCTCCTTTTTAAATACTTCAGTACTTAGTCACATGTAGGAACAAGGTCTGCAATGGACAAGGGTGGCAACATTCAAAAGGAGCTGGGAGAGCTGCTCTCAAGGAAGAAACAGCAGGGCCAGTAGGCACGTCCAGCTCGAGCAGACATTTAAAATCCAACAGGCAGCAGGAGAAACACAAAGTCATTTGCAGAAGAAACAAAAATTAACCAAAACAGAGCACATGATCCAAACCAGAGGTATGTAAATGTACTGCTGAGATGCAGACACCAGGCAAAATTAATGGTGGCTCTTAGGGTTAAATGGAAACAAGGCATGTCCTAACGGGAAGAAAAGCTTCAAACAACACCACGCTGATGAGAGCTCAGAAAGCCAACGCGATTCTCTAAGCCACAACTGCACCAGCAGCAGACCAAAGAGGACAAACAGAAGAACAGACAATAAATGAAAGGATGCTGGTTGATCACAAAAAGTGACAATACCCCAAACCAAGATATTATTCCACAATGGCTTTGCCTGGCAAGGCCTGAAGACCTCAGAATGCTTTGTTTTAATAAAAATATTCCTTGCAGATACATTAGGTACCCAGGATGGAACTAGAAGTACTGGCTGAAGAAAATGGATATAAATCATTAACGGTTTGGGGCTATAAACTTCTCTAAAGGCTTCTGTAGGCTTCCAGCTATCAGGAGAGCAAACTCTGGAACAGTACCCATTAGCACGGAGAGCATAGAGACACAAACCCGATCTTTGAATGGAATTTACTGTATTTACAAGTGGGATTGGGACACCATCGTCAGCCTAACACAATCCAGAAGAGTCTTCTATCCCAGCATTCCTCAAAGGCCAACAATCCTGAATGATAACGTGGACTGAGTTCCCTCACTGGAAACCCTAGAGGTGTCCAAGTTCAGCACTGGAAATGACTTTTTTTCCCCTCCACCTGAGGGGAAAAGAGAACTCTCCCTCAAATAACTCTTGCAGTACTGAAACTCCTTTTGCACAGTGCTTGCAGAGAGGTGAAACTGCTCACTAATGAGTTCAAGCTACTGCCCACGGCTCTTTGTGATCATACCAAAGCAATCCCAAATGCAAGCTAGAAAAAAAAACCTTCTTTCTGTTCTCCAGAGAAGACTTGCTTTGTTCCTTTGATTAAAATGGATATTCCAGCAATAGAAGAAATTCCACACTAAAAATTAAATCTTATCTAAATTTTAGCTTCTACAGTTCTCCCATGTAGATTTTCAATCCAAACTTTGCAACTATCTCTCTTAAAACAGAATTATAATATCTAAAAGGAAATACAGTAATAAAAAAAGAAACCACAATGACTATGAATTAGCACTTTAACACATTTTAAAAAGGCAATAAAATGAAAACCACAGCCTTGTTCTAATTCAATCTCTATCCAGCAGAAAACAAAACTGTGAGACGACACTAGTGCCGGATGCAAACTAGGGTTTCCTCTCCCACCCCCATGCTCCCCCTTCCCCCCAAAAAAATTCCTAATTTCTGTAAAAAGATACCAACAAGTAGAGTGCATTACCTTCATTCTCAGAGGTTTGGCATTTTACCTTCAGTACCAAATCAAAGGTACGTTCTGGATTTTCCCTAGAAGGAAGAAACAATTCATTAATCACGTACTTACTTCAGATACTGTAAATCACTCTCTACAGTTATATCTTTTCCAATCTATTTCTATAGAATTAAAATAAATTAAAATTTAAACAGCACTATAAATCAGACTGGTTCCTCCTGAGAACTAAGAAGCCACGTTTCCTTACTCAAAAGGATAGAAACATAAACAAGCTAAACTGCGATTTATTCAAGTGATATCATCACAACCTTATACAGCAAATAGTTCTTCAGTGGCTTTAATCATATCGCGTTAACAGTGGGGAAAAAAAGTGCTACTACCTTCCTTATCAATCAACCTGAAACACAGAAAGGAGGCCTCAGACTCTTTCCTACTTCCTCATTTATGGTTAATAACAAGTTACTTCTTACATCCACTTAACAGGAATAGTCCATAATCAGACTTCTATTTTAACTACATAGATTCAGCCACTACTTCTGTAACACATACAGTTACCAATGCTGAGAAATCCGTAGCTTCTTTTTCAAAAGATCTCAGTAGTCAACTTCTACACTAAAGAAATATAATAACAAAAGTAATACAGTATTAAAAAGCCTGAATCTGTGACACGATTCAATGAGAAAACACTACTGAAGTCACAGGGACAGAGGCCGCCCTGACCTATCCAGAGAGATGGGTGCAGGTAGGTGGGCAAAGCCTTGGTCACGGCAGAGGCCTCTTTCACCACCTCTCTGAACACACACCTGATAGCGATGAGCTGCCTATGTTGGTAACAACCAGCACTCAACCTAATCGAAAACTACCTATTTATTAAACAGTTCTAAATGACTTCAGTACACCATCCAGTTCTGCACGCCAGGCACACCACTATTTATATTAAAAGCGAGCAGCAAAACTGCACCCATATCAATTATCTATTTAACCACATAAAAGCTTCAAGCTTGAACTCTTTTTTTGGGTAAGGCTCATGCTGAAGTCAGCTTGAGTTGCAAACAAAGTACATGACCTGGGTGCAGGTTTCTAGCACACTGCAACTAAAACATGAAGCAAATTAATACACAAGCACTTGTCTTTAAAGCGAGCTTTGTGTAGAATCCAAACACTGGGCTGGGAAAAGTTTCAGCTGCCACAAATTAATTGATTTAGCACGTGCCGTCATTGACCCAGCACCATCACCAGCTGAGATGGGCAATTAGACCCCAGTTCGGGCTGCGGAGACTGAACCTTGCCACATTGCTGTCATTCCCTCGATTCGTACTGTAAAGCATTTGGCTGGAAACATCCCATAGCTGATGATCCTGCATGCACAAGCCCAAACCCTGAGTTACAAGAAACGAAATGCGGCTCCCGGCTCCGAGGTCGGGCTCCTTCCCTCGGCAGCTCAGCTTCCTACACTGCACTCGTGTAGGAAGCTCCTGCCAATATCCCGCCCTTCAGCCGCTCACCAGAGTACTCCAAACCTGCTCCTCCACGAAAATACACCCAAGTTTACTCTTCACATCCCACTACTCCCAGAAGCGTCAAAAACGCGTGAAACTAATCTGGGGACTGTCAGACGGCCTCTCGCTTCCTTTTTAGCTACTCAAGAGCAGCCTGTGGCTTCACCATGTGTTTATATATACACACAGGGCAGCTCCCGCGTTCGCCACCGCCAAAGAGCAGCAGGGCCCGCG